CTTTCCTATTTCTGAGCTTTCTGTTACCTGGACCTGGCATGCGGTTCTCCACTAAAAATGCCCTTGCCCCGCGTCCCGCCCTAACCTGACTGGCTGAGTGGTTTCTGACACCTGCGGCCACTTCCCGCAATCTTTTCTTCCCTGTCGCTTTGATCCAAGGGTTTCCTTAAGCTCTCCATCCCCTGAACTCTCATTTCCCACGCAACACCCACTTCCTCTTCCTTAATCTCTCGGCCTTCCTGGCCCTCACCCGCTTCGTCCTCCGCGCCTTGTTGGCAGTACGCCGAGGCGCTGAGGCTGCAGGGCGTGGCGCAGCGTGAGGCACGTGAGAATCTATTGCCACGCAACGGCGGCCCCGACCTGCCCGCCTACTATGACCGGTTGGAGCAGAGCATCCCGCACGTGTAGAGCACGTTATGGCCGGTGCGGTGGTGTGGCGGGTTGCAAGGGACGAGAGAAAACCCGCGCGCACACAGTGTACCAGACAGTTGGCCTTGTTTTGACGTGGCAGCTGGGTTGGGATGGAGTTGAGGGTGAGGTTGACTTGGCGTGCAAGTGTGATGGAATGACTTCAGCGGGGGTGGTTTCTTGGACTAAAATAAACAGAATTCTATTCCTAATTAAGTAAATAAAAAAATCGAGGTGGGTCTAGTAGGTGAGCGGATTTGCTGGGTGCCGCTCAGCCGGTGAAGCCCCACCCACCAGCTGCTACCCGTAAATATCGTACGGAGAGGCCGGTACGACATCGTACGTGACACACTCTCAGAGTGGGCTGCTGGGTGCCAGCCAGTTCGTTGGCTAGGCTGTGCAAGAGACCGGGCGCGAGGTGCGAGGCGGACGCAGGCGTACACCCCGCAGTGTACCCCTCCTGTGGGTCTCCGAGGGGAAGCCAGCACACAATGCCAATCCAGCTTTACACGTATCGAGGTGGGATGTTCGCGGCTGCGCGAGCAAGGGGTGGTATTGTGCTTATTGGGTATATGCAGCGTGAGGCAAGGCTGCAGGCCGGGGGCTGGGCGATAGGGTGATTGTATTTCTTAGGGGTGCTGTGCCCGTAGTGCTGTATTCCCCGATGTCCTCCTTCCTTTCGTGATTTGACTGTCAGTCACAGTGTTGCAAGCTGATTGAAAGCCGATTATGATTATGACTTCTCGTGCGATGGGTTTATTATTCTTCGGATGTGCTTGTGTCCAGAAAACAGTGATCTCCTTTTGCGATATACATCTTATATGTAAGATGTATATATAAACATATTGCATATAATTTCTTCGGGGCCGAAGCTGGACGGATGCTGTTAAGAGTGCGCTAGGCAGTTCGCGGCTCGTGTGGAAATAGGGACATGCGGGTTCGTCTGCGTTAAATGAGACATGGCCTGACGTGATTGAGACGGGGTCAGCCACATGCGGTTGTGCCCCGTGTTGTTTTGTTGGTGGTGTTGTTGGTGTTGTTGGTGGGGTGGGGGTGCAGCGCGAAGCAGTGCTTGGGGAGAAACTTTCTCCGAGGAAGCGGTCCTAGACGTCTCTCCGTTGTTTGTTTGTTTGTTTGTGCGTGCGTGCGTGCGTGCGTGCGTGCGTGTATAAGGTGTGTAACGGAAGGTATGACCTTAGGGTTTTGGAGGTTACCCCCCCTGGTCAAGCCCCAACCTGCACGTGCACTAATGACATCAGCACCAGCACCAGCTTATGGCTGCGGGCCACGATAGTTCATCGTCAGGTCCGTGCTGCACGGAGTGAGGGCAGGCCAGGATAATCATTTTCGCCATCGCCGCGCCGGTTCGGTGCCGTGCAACCCCTTGCGGCACCAATGTTCTGGGTTGGGCTGGGCGGGCGTTGGCAATGCGGGAAGAGGGGCGTTTGTGTAGTATCGGCACACTCCAGAGTGCGACGTTTTGGGATGGAGGACCCTCTCACTTATGCTGTGAGAATCATCGCGCGCGGGACGCAGACGCTCATTTAGAAATCGTGCGGAAGGTTTTGTAACGGCTGTGGATATTTTCGGGAAGTGGCCCCAGGCGGTGTGCTGTATACTATTAGTTTTTGTTCGGCCATTGAATAGAAGGTTCGGGTATGGCTGTAAGGCATGTACTCACCCGCTCTGAGGCATGTACTCAGCCGCATGTTGTGACCTAGGGACGCCGTAGAAGGGAGCATCGCATTTCAAGGGCGTGCGTCAAACAACACGGTGTGTCTCACACCCACGACGCCTGTGATGCGGCAAGTGGACCGAGGGCCCGATGGCAGAGTCATTTCACCGGTCGGCCCTCTGGATTACTTCTCTGCAGGGGTGCAGCCCGGAGTCCTGGTCCTCCAAACATGCTAGCAGTGAGCTGCTGCTGACTGCGTGAATTTATTCCAGGACAAGTTTTGCCTGGCGCTAGCTGCTGCTCCAAGGGAACCCGGGTACCAGCATTGTAGTTGGGCTTTACTTTGGCGGTCGCGGGTAGAAGTTTGTTGGTGGGGATCCTCACTTTATGTGTTTCAGCGCAACCCATTAACAACACATAGCTGCTTAATGGATGATTTTCGTGATGAGCAAAAGAGGGGGCAGGATGGATTCAGGGTGTCGGGACCTAGGGGATGGACCTACTTTTTCGGGGCCGGGTGGGTTGGGGCTCAAAACCCGTGTAGGACATTGACAATTAACGGAATTCTTAAGTTACAGAATAAAATATATGAGCGTATTAATAGTTGCACGGATGCTCCACCAAGCACTGATTCATCAATTCTTGCATTTACAGGTTGTCTGTTGTAGTACTGGTAACGACACGGCAAAGTCACGACGTTGTTATTTATTGAGCAGTCCCCTATTCCAATCAGGCGAATTCACAGAGAGAAACAAACCCTTTGCAGATGGGCGAGCAGTTAAATCGTACTTGCCGTACTAAGATTAGAGGTTTGCCATGACGGCCAATGCTTGTTCGGACGAATGTTTCTATTGTTGGGCTGAAGGGCTTGCAACTCGTGCGGCCTGAAGTTCATTCAGGGAGCCTGAACCAATCCTCCAACGGCACCCTTAGGCAACATTGCTTGAACATAATTAAAGTGCTAGCCATGCATGTCCTTCGGGGTCGTGCTCCTTCGGGTTCACACTGCAATCCTTGCGCGGCAACTCAGCCTTTGCAAGTGGCGTATGTCAGCACTGCTTGGCGACGTCTTGCAGGTGATTTTAGGCTGTTTGCGGTTTGAATACGCAAGGACACGAACTTATAATTCATGCGCAAATGAAACCGTCCGGACCAATTGTTGCTGCTTGCCACAGCTCACGCCGGCCTGGAGCAGTTTGAACGCATAAGCGCGAGAGGAAATGTGGTCGCATCAGCTTTCAGGCCTGCAAACAATCCTGCAAATAGCTCCAGTAATATGACGGCCATCATAGGGGCTGACGGCAAAGCCAGCTCTCTTCGCAAGCTCGTAGTGGACGGAGTGGACGACTCTGCTATGGTTCAGGTAAGGCTTTAGCTCTAGGTGGAAATGTCTTGTATGCTGCGCTGCTGGGATGGTACAATTTGGAACATGGGCGTCCTGCGTTTATTTCCAAGGACCGTCCCTGTAAATGCGTCTTTGCATCAGCACCCTTTGAGGCGTGTTGTCCTATCGTCGTCTCTGTATCAGCATCCTTTGAGGCGTACTGTGGTGCTACCTCTGCGAAAACCCTATTTGGCGGTATTTGGCCGCTGGCGAATAGGGCGGTGGCGAGGGGAAGCGCCCAGCTATCAGACCTGTGCAATTCCAATTTTTGGTTACGGGGCCAGCGGCCCGATGTGCTAGGTGTAACAGGTTCGTTTTGCATTCCTAGCTACTGGCGTTGGGTTTCTTCCGCCGGGTCGAAATCTGGGATCCTGCTGTTACTCTGTGTTTTAGGTCAAGTTCTGCCTCAAGTACCGGACAAGTTACGGTCAATCCGTAAAGATTATCGGCTCCCACCCAAAGCTCGGTTCCTGGGACATCAACAAGGCCCTTAATTTGGACTGGACTGATGGTGACCGGTGGATAGCGGCGGTGGAACTCCCGGCGGGGGCCGTGTACGAATACAAGTACGGTGATCCACCATGATGGCTGTTTTGCTTTGAATGGGGTCGACTATTATTTCTTGCCCCCTTTTGCGGCTTGCGTGGGATTGACCCCAATAACGCACGCATGGGGGACGCCGTGCCTAGAAGGGCACCCTGGCAGGGAACTCGGAACCGCAACCGTCACTAGCACCCGCAACCGACAGGCTACCCACGGAGTACACCCACCGCGAACACTATCGAGAGCACAGACTTTTTGAAATAACCGACTTGTTGCGTCATTGCGCCATTAGGTCACTATTCACCATCACAGCGGCCGCACACCCCTCCTGTCCCCTGTTCAGGTATGTTCTGGTAGACCATGACAGCCGCGCCACACTTGCATGGCAAGGCGGCGGCAACAGTGTACTGGCTTTGGGCGATCAGGACGGACAGGGCGTCGAGGTGCAGGATAATTGGTACGTGCCGCACCGTGCCCCCCACGGCCTGCTATCCGTCTGTGTCAATCACTAGGGTGGGGGGGGGTGGGCAGCAGCATTTGGGGTGCTTCTGCATCACGTGGTCAGTGGCGTCTGGGTGCCGGTGAGTCCCGTAGCCAGGGGCTCAGGAGAAGCCGTACCTAACGGTGCCACGGCTGGATTGGATCGCATTGAATGGAGCTAGCTAGGGCAGCTGTGTTACCGCCCTAAGAGTCCCCGTGCCCTAGAACATCTGACTCAAAGTAACGAGAACGTAGCACTCGGGACGTGGCACTCCACTCTCCCTGGGGCTCCGTCAATATCAGTCACCACGTGTGCCAGCACAACGTTCAGCAGAAGCGGAAGTCGTTGGCATTTCGCGTGATCCTCTGGTAATGTACATGGCTGGTTGCTGTCCTGCCATGAGGTGCCAGGCCTACGGGCTGGCAGCGTAGACGCTGCTTTCACCTCGTGTCCCGAGTTATGTGGATGGGGTATGGCATATGCCAGTGTATGTAGGGGTCACAGCAGGAGCCCGACAAGAGCGTGTCCCCGCCATCTGCACTTGCATCTCAGGGGTAACAATCCAGGCCAGGCCGCTGTCGTCGTGAACGGTGTCTCCACGACGAGAGAAAGCAAGCTGCAGGCCTGGGCTAAGTAAGTCCGTAACCAAATGGATTGGGTGCGAGGGGAATACCTTGGTGTGTTTTTGGACGCGAACTTGCTTAGTAGCGGGTTGGTCCTTCGGTGGAGCCAGTAGCTGAGCAGCAGCGTTTTCGGGGAAGCATTAAGCACTAACGGGGGCTATGAAGGCGGCAGTGATGGGCAGATTGTTTACTGTTCTCCTCGTTACCGTGCTAGCGCCCCATTCTGAGTCTCCTGTGTGTTCCCTGGGTTCCCCAATCCTCAGTGAGATGCGGCAGTACCGGGCCATGGCCCGTAATGCGCAGTATGAGCTTTCCAGGAAGGCGGAGGAGCTGCAGGCGTCCAAAGCACAGGTAAACGCACGCACCAACCAGGCACATGTGTGTGGACTCGCACTCAACAACAGAGTATATGACAGGCTATTTCTTTGAGAGATAGGACATAATAATTTTCCTTGTTCATTTTTTTACGGAACCTATGTATTTCATAGACTGTCCCTTCGACTGTCCCTTCGACTGCCTCTGGGCCCCCTCATGGCTCGTATGGGCCCCAGGTTAGACCTTTGGTGGGTAACGCAACTCCAGGGGGTGATATGACACGCGCACAGATGTGATCGGCTTCGGTCTTGTAACTTGCCCTCCACGACTGGCCGCTCCCTCCATAAGCCACGGTGAACAGTGTGGGAAATCAGCCAGGTCCTTCCTTCTGACCTCCTGACCCCCAGGTCGCCCGGCTCAAGATGGAGTTGAGTGTGAGCCTGAAGGCCAGGGAGGACCTGGAGGCGCGTCTGGCCGAGGTGGAGAGTGAAAACCTGGCTCTGCGGGCACAGGTAGCCCAGAGCCAGATTGCCATGAAGAGCACGCTCGAGGAGGCCATCAAGCTGCTACAACAAGGTGAGCTGTCAAGCGGGACTAGAAGTGGCGCCGTAAAGGGAGTCAAGGGAACTGAGCAAAGTGGAAGCGTTCAGAGCTACCGGAGCCCAGGACAGCCAGCGGGGACTCTGGGGAAAACCGGATGAATCGCTGTGGCTTCACTATAGGCTTGCAGGGTATGGATGAATGGAGCAGCGGATGCGGCCTTGCATGTGCATAAGACGGTTGGTGGTACAGCCCAGTTCCCTGGTTCCACTCGGGGTCCACTGCGACTGGCCAACTGACGGAAACGGGTGCGCTAGGGCCATTAATGGTGTTGTTTATGCTAGGAACGTGTGCGGGGTGCATTCGACGGAGGAGGCATAAACAAAGTGTTTTCATGTGACTGTAGAGATTGAGGAGGGTGAGGAGGAGTTGTACAATGAGGAGGAGGAGGAGGTGTATGTCCCGGCCGCTGGTGGCAACGGAAAGACAGCCACTTCCAACGGGGCCAGCCCTTGGAGCTGGGGCCGTGGCAAGGAAGCCGAGACGGTGAGTTGGAACTGTGGCAAGGTTCATGGCTAGGGGGAACCATAGTGAAACTATAGCCGCATTGCGAGCGCCAGTAGAAAACCTCAAAATATGGCGCATTGTTGCGGAAGTCGGGTGTGCACGGTCAAGGTAATTGCTCCTCCGCCATAAATGGTCTATCAACACAACAAGCACGCAACAAGCGCTTTGGAAGCGTGTTTTCCATCATTCTAATTGCTGTGATTGTGTTGGAAACGCAGCGTAGATAGTATTTTCTTGTGTTAAGTGGGGCCTTTCGATACGGTGCCCTGAGCAGCTGGTCTTTAGCTCTGGGTTGAGGGAATAAGAGGGCACCTAAACCTGCTTCCTTTGGAGGGGGCTGCTGTGCACCACTGTTGCTGCACCGCATTTCACAAATCACGTTTGACCTGCCCTTCGTTCCGGCTACACGCAGGTTTACGCTGGCAGCAATGGAAACGGCTCTACGTTCGAGCGGTTTGGATTCCGTCTTAGCGGCAATCCTTTTGACATGCAAGGCGAGCAAGCGGCTACAAGGTGAGGTTCTGGTATATCCCACCTGTGCGCGTACTCCACGTGCACCGGCAATGAAACTCGATTTGCTAGCACTTGAAGGAGCTCACTACGCAACATATTACATGTACTCGCGATAAAACAAAGCACTGCTCTTCATGGGTAATGCCCGTCGACACAGTGAATAGCAACTACGTCCTCCCTTTGGGGCCATTGTGCAATTGGGATGTCGGCTGCAAGGATCGTTGTCTTGAGTCAGTAGCCAGGCGCATGGCTGCCCTTCCCTTCCCCCGTTCCACTTGCGTGTGTGACAGCAGGCCGTCTACAGAGCGTGCCTCAGACCTTGGTGCTGCACGTGTAGCCACGACCTCTAGTGGCAGCGGCTCCTCGTACACCGGCAGTGGGCACGTCTTAGCCGATTGGCGGACGCGGCTCAGCAATGGCGGCCAGTAACTACGGCCCGCTGCGGGAGCAGGAGAGGGTGCAGGGAGGCGTGCAGGGCTTCGTAGCATGAGGGAAACGGGCGTCTGAGGACTAACCACACGTGAGCTAATTCTTGACGTCTTAAAAATGCGTGAGGCCGCGTGTGAGGTAACACGTGGGCATCCTTAGTGAGCGAGCATGCTGTTGTGCAACCGACACAATTCCATGGTGGCAGTGCCGTGGGGTTGCGTTTTTTTTAAAAAAAAGGGACTATTGCTTATTATCGGCTTGTGTGGTGTTTTGGACGAGATTCCTTGTTTTATTCGGTGTGGTCCTTGGGCATATTAAGCGCAGGCGGCACAGATGTGGGTTGAATCATTTTGCGCATTGGAAGCATGTCCTGCGTTTGCTATCACTTGCGACCACGCTCTTGAGAAGTAGAGATGTTAGGGGAGAGAAGTGCGCGGTTGCCTGTAGCGTTTCCGTTGCTTTCACCTGTCTTTGGCAGGGGGAATGTTACATCTCGCGCCTTTGTACTATTAAAAGATCGTTGTGTGGACTGTTGACCGGAAGAAATGGTTTTGAAAGAGGAGCAGGCGGCTGCCCTTTTTTTATGTACCTGTGGTACTGGTGTTACGCGCAGTCGGCGCTCATAAAAGTGTGACTCAAATTCGTGGTATGTCAGCACCATAGCACCATGTGCTCATTATGAAGCAGGGGAGGTGCCCTGCCTGGGATGCTGCTCGATATCGTGCAATATTATAGAACGACAGTTGGGCGTGGGACGATTGCAGTGCCCTCTGACTTTCCATGTAACTAGCTCGCATACAGTGAGTTCGACTTGTGTCATGGCCTTCACTATTACATCCTACTTGTTGCGAGCGAGGCAGGGCTGGGGCCCTGCGTCTGAGTCGTCGACGGTGCGCGCTTTCTGCAATTTCTTTTTGTCCTGATGGGAAGGAAGCAAGGGACCCATTATGTTCTTGTGAACCAGTCGAAAATTCGTTTCGCTGCATTGTAATCGCAACAGCTATCCAATACCGTGTAAGGTTGTGGCCGCGCGCATTACCAACCCGTCATATGATTTGCTCCTTGTCATAATGCGCATAAAACTAGATAGGTGTGTAGCAATGCCAAGGCTATTTTCCATTCTACAGCGCCGTGCCCATTTTGGCCTACGTATCTAGGACGTGGCCAAGTCTAAATGTGTGCTGGTACCACGGAAAGCAAAGGTTGCAGGCGCATGTTACCCCTTGGAGCTTGAAGTCTCTACATATGGCTGTCCTGGACACATTGGATACATGCGCCGTTTGAGTCCGATGGCTGTCCGGTTTTACAATCAAAAGGATATGGGTCCAGGGAAGAAGCGTCAAGCACATACTTTCGCATCATTAAGCCTGATTTGCGACGGCGAGCTGGTGAAGCTGCAGGGGCCCTTAACAGTCAAGGCGCCTGAGGTCCATTGGCTAGCTTTGAGAGGAGGAGACGAATGTGTGATTCGAAAGCTGCCCAAAAGCCCAAACCATACAGAATCAGCAGCTGCCTGGACCCATTCCCTAAAGGGTCCATGTGGCCACGAGCCAACGACATCCCGTACAACCGTGCTCGGCATCATGGCAGTGTATGTTGCCAAGGTTACCACGCGTGCAAAACCCGTGTCTGTCGTGTCAAAGTTGTGATGCAACCGTCTCCATGACATGATGATGGCTGCGCGGCGGGGTGCTAGCACTGGCAAACGCGGCGGCGTGGAGTTCATTGGGCTTGGCCGTTTGTTATAACTCGCGAAATTGGCGACGCAATTCAGGTAACGGTACGAGGGGTCAACGAAATTCACCCCCCACGTCACTTTAGATATCTTTAGTCTTTTCGTCCACTTTACCGGTAACGTATCGTTAACCTTTTCCGAACCGAACACTTTCCCCAAAAAGTCTTAACGTTACGTAGCATGTAAACTGGCTAGATGCGTGGGAGCCATGCGCCTAAAACCCAAATGTAAGTAGGTCAGAACTCAGACGCCCGAAATGAATTTTATCTAAGAATGTAGGTACTTTCATTCTGGACAGGTGCAATTTTGTGTCATCCGTTTTGGAGTTGATTAGCCTAGGCTCCCATGAAGTCCAATTCAGCTTCCATTGAATGTGCGCTAACTGTAAACACTCTAAAAAATCAAAGATTAGCCATCATTTTAATGATGAACAAGTAAGGACTTTGGTGACCAAAGGGAGTCCCATCACATTTCTTCTCATCTAGCTACACAGCACACGATGAAACTTTTAGACGGAATCTTGGTTACCGGTCTTAGTATTGCTGGTGCTTTCCTTGTCTCCCTTCACATCCGCAAGCGGACGCACTCGAAACAGCCCCAACCCCAAGGATACACATACAGGTGCGCTGTGCAATGTTCTAGATTTGTTATGAAAATTGTTTTATTCTAACCAGGTTCATGTCGGCCTGTCTTGATAACCTGCTGCGCGGGCCGTTTGTAGCGTAATGGGCTGTTTGTCTCCCAGCATTGTTCTGTTTCCTCGCGAAACTCGTTTTAGAAATTTAATTCATGCTCATCTAAGCTTTATAACGTCGAAGTTATGGGGTGAAAGCTGATTTGGCGGTTTATTCCTTGCTTAGGTACCCTCGCCCAGCCCTCACCGTTGACGCCGTCATCATGTCACAACCCTCCGCGGATACACCAGCACAGCTACTTCTCATCAAGCGCAAATTCCCGCCCTTCAAGGCAAGGTTGTACCTCACACATCGCTACACGCATCGCGCCCGTGTCCTACCGGCTCAGCATTCTGGTCAAGCTGAGCTGGAAAAAGGACAAGTTCCGCATACTGGTTGCGTTGAACTGACAAAAGCAGATATCGTGAATTGCTGGACCGCATGCGCCGTGCCGCTATGCGTCTATTGCAGACACCGTCGCCCTCGCCGCCACTGCAGTCTCTTCTGTGTGCCATGTCCCCGTCCCTTCATCCCGATCATTGCCATGACTCTCCTCCCCTTCCGGCCAGGACTCCTGGGCTCTCCCCGGAGGCTTCGTGGACGAGGGTGAGGGTCTGGACGCAGCCGCCGGCCGTGAGCTGCAGGAGGAAACCTCCGTGGACCCTGCCACGGTGACACTCACACAGGTGGGGCCCAGGGGGGGGGGAAGACGAACCACGCGCGAATGAAGTTGATGGCAAGGGAAGACTGATGCGCCAGAAGTGAAGAAGGGGGAAGGGGGAGGGGGGAAGGGGTGGTTGCGTGCGATGGGGGGAATGGAGTGGGGAAGCGGGAGGGGATGAAGGAATTGATATGGCTCCTTTGACATGGCGCCTTCCCCCCCTACCTTGAGCTCCCGCATTTCCCCCGGTCCGCCTGGCCCCTCAATCGACCGACCCATTCCTCCAGGTTGGCGCCTTCGCTGACCCCGGTCGCGACCCGCGGGGTTGGACCGTCACGGTGGCGTACGCGGCACTGGTGCCTACCACCAACCTGGGGGTCAAGGCGGCGGTGAGGGAGGGGAGGGGGGGAAGGGGAGGGAAGGAGGGAGGGGAGAGGAGGGGAGGGAAGGAGGGAGGGAAGGGAGAGAGGGAAGGGAGAGAGGGAAGGAGGGAAGGAGGGAGGGAAGGGAGGGAGGGGAAAGACGAACCACGAACGAGTGAAGCTGCTGCCAGGAAAAGAGTGTACAAGAAGTAGAACTGACCAAAAGGCGTCCTTAAAGGCGGCGACCTCGGGATGATGTAGCGAAGATGATGTCGGAAAAACTACCTACCTAGCCGCTAAGACTAAAACAAGCGCGGAAGGAAATCAGTAAAGGGGAGGGAAGGGAAGGAGGGACGTGGCACTATGTCCTAGAAGACCGCCGCCGCCTGACTGCCCCCCCGGGGGGCCCCTCATCCCCTCATCGCTCAGGACGACGCCAAGGACGCCCGCTGGTTCGACGTGACCATGTTGCCGCTGCTGGCCTTTGATCACAAGCTCGTCGTGCGAACCGCTCTGCGGCACCTGGCCAAGCAGCCGGCCGCGGGGGCAGTGGGTGAGCGAAGGGGCGAGCGGTTGGGGTTGGGAGTGCACGTTAAGAGGTGGAAGGGCTCTCCCTCTGATATGTATATGTGGGGGGGGATGCCAATCTGCTCCTAGACCCTCCATGACCACTTTCCGCCCTTTGCTGTCCCTGCCCCTCCCACCCCAGCCGGACTATCTGCCACCCTGGAGGCGGCGGCGGACAAACTGGACGGACCTTGGAAAACTGAAGCCTGAGTTCGTTTATTTTTCCTAGGGGCGCGTACGCGTGTCGGACTGTCGGTGGCTCCTTAAGCTACAGTGATAAATGAGGGGGAGGGGAGCGGTCTGACAGCCGGATCTGGGGCTGCAGAGCGAAGCACCATCCAGGCCATCATCGGGTTGGGCAAGGGGGGGACGTATGGGGAAGCGTGCGGCAGTGCAGGGGGAGGCGAAGAGAGTGCGGTGCTTTCTTCCGAGGGTCAGCTGGATGGATGTCGCGCGAGCGAGCATTTGACGCGGTTGGGAGGTGCGCGAGAGGACTAAGCTGGGAGGGTGGGATGCGCTACAGGTTCACTACGACTATTGGATACACCCAATGGGGATATTCAAATGGTTCCAGAATGCTGTTCAAGGGTGCGTTGAGGCGTTCCGGGGTTCAGGGACCCTTGGTTGTGGACGTTTCGAAGGTGATGCGTTGTATCTTTCCGCCGGATTACTGGTGCATGGTGCAGGGAAACGAAAAAATGCTTTGGGAACCTGCCTTCCAAGGCTCCGGGTGCCGGGTCTTAGCGGGGTGCCATGGATTGAACTACACTATACTACATGCATAATGTCAGTTGGCAACAGGGGGGCGGCAACACTCCAGATGGCAATTTTGTTATAATCGTCGAGGGCAAGGCTATGACCTTGCATGTGGGTAAATTGCGTGGACCCTTGCCGAGGACTTTATAGCTCTCGATGCCGCAAAGATATTTCCGTTGCCGCCTCCAACGGTGCCGTACGATAATAGCTTTTGCTGGTCATTCTATTGACTGATGATTTGAGTATATTTTACCACATGATCTGCTAATTATCACGTGTTGTTTGTGTCTATATGAAAACTGAGAAGAAGACGCATGCATGTATCGATTGTAACGGACCACGGTGACCGTAGATTGTAGATCACATCTCCAAAGCGTGCCATCACCTAGTATATAAAGCGATGATCGACGAACGGGTCCTCAATGCCCTCCTCCTCACGGGGCTGGGTGCTGCGGGTACCGCTCTGGGAGGACTGATTGTCGTCTTGCAACCCAAAATGCAGTTCAAGCGTCTTGGATACCTGCAGGTGAATATTATGACGATAAAACAGTTTCCAGGCGTGCACACCTTGTTGCACGGCAAGGGCAAGTTCCGTCGCCGATACCCGGACAGAAAACGAGCAGGACTCAGTAATGGGAATTGTAACTGGCAAACCATAACGGATGATGTTGATGATAAGGAACTGAAGAGGAGATTTGGTCACTAGGGCTGAGTCAAAGGAGGACCCCGTTCCGGTAATCAGTCGGCTTGTATAGTTACCAGCTGATATGACTCACCAGGAAGAAGGAATCGTACCAGCAGACTCATAATAACAGACGGGAGACACACACAGAATCCAACGCCTCCAAGTTCATTTTCGTCGTTTCACCCGTCTCGTTCGTACAATCCGTACCGTGTCCGCACTTCTGTATGTTTCGGCAAAATCCCATAGACACCTACCAGACGGCCGTCCCTCCTACTACTCGGCCCCCAACGCTCCCTCGTACTCCTTCCAACAAGGAATGCGGTTAAGAAACGCGATATACCGCGCCAACGGCATTGCGCATAGCCACGAATCGATGCATCTCTGTGCTCCGCGCCTCCTTGAATGTTACACAAGTTTAAATAGTAGCCCCCTCGTCATGCCACCCGAGTAAGTCCCGCTTCAGCTGGCCCGACCTGGCCTTGCGCCTTCCGCCCAGCCGCCCTCACACCGCACGTTGCAGCCCGTGCGGCCATCCCCCCTCTTGCATCCTATGATTCCACCCGCACCCGCTTCATTGGGACACAGGGCCTGGCTGCGGGCCTTATGCTCTGCATCTCTATGCTGGATCTGATGCCGGCAGCTGTGGAGGAAGTTGGTTTCGCGGCTGCCAACGGCTGGTTCTTCGCGGGAGTGGCCTTCTTTGCCGCTGTCGTGCACTTCATCCCCGAGCCATCCTCTGAGGGGTTGCAGCTGGACGACGAGGAGGACAAGGCGGCGGCCGCGGCGGCCGGGCGGAAAGCAGCGGATTCAGCAGGGACGGCGGCGGCGACATCCAAGAAGAAAGACGACGGTCCGGTGGACTCTCCGTCCAAGAAGTCCGGCAAACGGTGAGATAACATGCAGAGAGAATTACATACGGGCTAAGTTTCGTGAGGAGGGAAGGAGGGAGGGAGGGAGGGAGGGAGTTCGCGGGTGATGAAAAGCTATCGCAGTGGGGGAATCGGAGGCGGGGTGGGGTTTAGTTTGTCTGGAGATAAAAGTGAGGATAAGGGTATGGAGATGTCCATTCCGAAAAAAGCATCAACAGCAACCTAGCAGCAAAAGAGAAAAATGAATGCAGATGCCGGCCAGAAGGCGGGATTTTACATTGTCGTGCCGGAAAGGGATGTTGTTCGGGAAGGCACCTGTGTTTGGCTCTATCAGTCACCCGAATGGGTTTGGCTGCGGCCTGATGGTCGTCATTCGTGTTGAGGAGCGTTGGGGGGCGCCCTTGGAAAGCGAACTCCGGAATTCACAAATCCCTAAACCACCAGCTATACTTTGCAAAGTCTCGATACCATACCCTCCCAACCCGTTTGCTCTCCCCTTTTTGCTTCTGAACCCCCCATATAAATGTAAGTAAAAGGTCCCCAATCCAAAATGACGCTGCGCTAATCAGAGAGACTCTGTTCGTTTTTGTCCCCCCACCCTTATCTGCCCCTGCACGTTACGCAACTCCGCACTTTAACCTACCCCCGCACGGCGTCCACCTACCCCCCTTGCCCATTTACCTTTAAACCCCAGCAGGCCCCAGGCTAGTAAGTCCACCACCGCCTCCACCGTCGCCGCCACCACGACCATTTCCAACGCAGCCCAGCCAGCAGCCGCAGGGACAACCCGCACCGCCCGCCGCGAGGCCAAGCGGCGCGTGCTCCTCTCCGGCCTCATCACCGCCATCGGCATCGCACTGCACAACTTTCCGGAAGGCGTCGCGGTCTTCCTCGCCTCCATGAAATCACACGCCGTGGGCGCATCCCTGGCCTTCGCCATCGCCTTGCACAACGTGCCGGAGGGGGTCGCCGTCGCGCTGCCGGTGTACTTCGCCACCGGGAGCCGTACACGCGGTTTCCTGTACGCCGCCACGTCAGGCCTGGCGGAGCCGTTAGCGGTTGTGGTCCTGGCGGTGTTCTTTCCGACCAACCTCGACCGCCAGCTTGTGGAGAAGTTGTTGGCGGCTGTGGGCGGCATTATGGCGTTCCTGTCCATCTCGGAGTTGCTACCTCTGGCATTCGAGCACGCCGGCCGGCAGCGTGCGGTGATTTCATTGTTCCTGGGCATGGCCATTATGTCCGCCAATTTATACATCCTTGACCACTGGCTAGGGCATGACCACTGATTAAAGAGATCGGAACGATGAAGGGCAGAACGAAGGGCAGAATGAAAATGAAGGGCAAAATGAAGGGCAGAACACGGGGACCCTGACGTGCATCAGTTCTTATTCCGAACCTATTTTCGCTGATGGCGCACCGGGGGATGGCTTTGGAAAAGCTTTGCTCCGTTTGAGATCTTTACGAACGAACAAACTCTCGCCGGCTGCTACGGGGTTGTGGAAATAGGAGGCTGCAGAAGTTTTCCTTGTTGAGATATTGAGATGGAAATCGAATGCATCAAGGGCATCCGGGGGGGGCTTATAGGGGGGGCTTAAACCCTAAGATGCTTAGCAGCTAACGTTTTCTTGTTGAGGGTGAGGGCTTCCAATGCCTCAATGGCGTTCCTTTGGCGGCCGTGGGGACCGCCTGCTGGTTTGGGGGCGGGTCTTGGGGAAAGGATTTGGGGGGAGTTGTTTGCCTACCTGCCAGGACCGGGGGCCACTACTGGTTGGTCGGTTCAGGCCCACCAGGAAGAGCAGCAACAGCGGCAGACAGGGAGAACCCCCTAGCTGGTTTTTTGGGGGGGAGGGAAGGGAGAAGCAGCCAGCAGGGCAGAGTGAATGGTGGAGAGCTGGGAAGGGAGTTTCTTGATAAGGCTTCAGTGCTTAGGGTTGGGACAGGAGGATGGGGCGCAACAAGGAAATCGCCCTTGCTGTGGGTACAAAATTAACACCGTATGGACAGGTGGAGGAATGAGCCATGTTGAAATGAGTATAGCAACAGGGTATATATGTATCGGTGTTTACTCAACCATCATAATCTCTGGCTGTCCGTTCCAGTTTCCTTGCGTATGGATGGCTCAGCTTTTGTGACCTACGGGTCCGGAGTTCTTGGCGTACACTTCAACCTCTCTACTATCGAGCTCTTCAGGACGTATTTTTTCCACATACATACATACATACATACATACATACATACATACGTACGGCTCCAGACACAGCAAATAGGCTAAGTCGCGGCATAGTGGCCCTACCTCGTTTAAATTTAAACCTAGTCCCTCTAATCCTCTCACACAGCGTCCACCACAGCGAAGTCTTGGTAGGGACTTCCGGTCTTGCATTTCATACAAGGTGAAAGTTCAACATAATATAACACGCAGCGAATTGCATTCACTGCATGGTGCCTGCTGCAAAGTCGCTGTCGCTGTCTTGCCAGATGGATAAATGCGTTGTAGGCGCACGGGGCGCCCCGCTTGCACCCACATCCTGGCTGCGGGAAGGGACCAACCGCTCCTAGCCCATCGGGGCCTCCGCCGGTACTACAGCGCCGTCGCGTAGAGGACATGCCCGCATCCGAAGGCAGCAAGCCAACGATCGCTCGGACCTACGACATGTGGTGCTGGAGGACGAGACGAAACCCGCCGATGGGACCGTAGTCCAAAAGTGGCTTGACATCTCTTGCGCCCATGTCGACCATCATACCCAGTCAGCTCCCCTCAGCAATTATCTGATTACCAACCTGCCCCTTCTTGAGTTCGCTGACTTTGCGAGTAGCTGCCGGGTGCTAATGCTCGAAATTGACAAGCGAACGGTGGCCGACGTGAACTTGCATCTGTACGCGAGACAGGACATAGCGGCAATAGCGGGCGCAATTCCATTGTAACGTCCAGAATTCTCATGTTTATCCTATTAAAAGCGATAACCTTTATGAAAATAGCTGTTGTCAAGGCTACTTCACCCTGTTGGATGCGGGCATCCATGCAGGGAGTGCTATACGAGAAGCTCGAGGCGTCCCTCTACCTTGCGGGGAGGCTGGGACTCCAGAACCTATTGCACTGCTGCGGACTCTCATAAGGAACCAGCTACAGGCCGCTGGGGGTGCTGTGGTCCTGACGCTTAGTGCCATCGCAACAGCCCCCCTGTACTCCGCAGCATACCCCAGGAGGTGTTGTTTCACAGCTTCCTGCGGGACAGTTTCCTGGAACCTCCAACAAGTGCGACTGGGCTATTGATCTCTGTGCGCTTGAATCAGGTCGCTAAAGCCAGGCGGCGGCAAAAAGTAAGGGCACAAAGTACTTACATGCTGAGTCGAGAAGTGTGGGCAACTGTGCGGCCTATCTGCCCTTCCTGCATTATTTTGTAGTGCATTACGGCCGATGAAGCACATTTGTATGGGCGTGGTTGTGTGTATATCTCTATCTGTGTATGTGGCTTAGCGGCTTGGTAGCACCCCACTCGGCTCATGCATTCAACATTTACCTAAGCATACATCTGATAGGTCCGTTAGTTGATTTGGGCAGATAGGTCGGGTGTGAGGTTGGTAATGTGCGTTACGGTGGCTACTGTCTTGCCCGTACGGCTCGTAAAGATGTGGAAAATGATAGAGCCGCCTGTAGCTGTTTGGCGGAGAACTCGCTTGACACCGTGGCGATGAAAACTAAAGTTCCTAACGCTAATAGGATTGCGTCCGCGGCGCCCTCTTCTCGGCCTTGGATGGTCTGCCCCCCTGACAGTCAACTGCAGGGCCGATTAAGGCTTGTTGATGTTGTTACAGGGTGGTTAAGCTTCACCAGTGGCCTCCTTCCCGAGGCAATTCCCTGCTCTCCCCTGCTAGAGGGGCACCCTAATCCATGTTAATAAAGACACTGCGTGAGTACGCTTGGAATAGCTTGAGTACGGCTTAGGATGGCACGCGTTGTTCGCTATTCGTGTTGTTCGCTATTCCCTGAGCTATTCCCTGAGCTATTCCCTGAGCTATATGCTATTCCCTGAGCTATTCCGGATGGCACGCGTTGTTCGCTATTCCCTGAGCAGAACTCGAACCTGCTGATCAAGAGGCTAAGACGTGTAACCGTAAAGAGAAGCATCAGTAACCACCTCAACACGGAACGGCAACGAGTAATCAGGGGGAAACGCAGGATAAGGTCATCAGTAACCGCACGCTTTATGATAAGTCTGCTGGAACTCAGGTGCCCACGCGGCAGCCGACGAAAACGCTCCCTTACGAGCCAGATTACGAGTCAGATTGGGCGCAACGATAACAGACTACCGCGCAATAAATTTTCGAAAATGACTAGTCAACCCCAAAAACTTACGAAGCTCCTGCAGACGTGGGTGCCGGTACCTCGGTGGCATGCTTAGTGTAGTGAACATTCTGATACACTAGGGTGTTGTGTCCACTGGTGCGGCAGCCACATGCAATCGCCCACGGTGACCGGGGCCATCCTGGTGACCGCCGTCTGGCATGCCTGTGCGTCGTACGCTGGATTGCGGGCCTCGTGTTCCCCATGTCATCGTGTCGCTACTGCTGCTCATGTAAGCTCGGTGGTGCTCTTCGCCAGATGCTTCATCAGAGCTCCCCCAGCAGCGTTTTTTCAAGTATTATATAGGCATAACCGTCCATTGCTGCCAGATTGCTCCGTGGCGTGCAGAACTTAGTATTTGCAATCATAGAATAAATATGAGGGGCCGTAAGAAGGTCACGCCCGTGAGTCAACGCGGCATAGCAGCATGTATGACCGGTTCTCAGATAGCCAAACACGCACAAGGCAATGACTCAAACGTCGAAAAGACAGCGAGATAAGCCTGGAATAAGCCTCACACTCAAGGAATAAATTACGACAACCCTAGCAACTTGGTTACTTAGGTTGGAATAAATTGAGATCCGTCCTAAACGAAAAAAAATCACTGTCTCCCAGCAGACATCCTCATCCGCCTACATAACATTTCCTGATTCCCCCTGCTCCTTACGCATAGCTTTCTTTATCATGCTCTTTCACCATGTGAAGCGGTTGGCGAGCAGTTGGTTATTTAGAATGCACCCAACAAGGTGGCTGTAGGTTACACCAGCCCCACTTAGAGGGTCCGTGAGTTAAGGTCGAACTCGATGCCGCCTTTCCTGTTTGCCGCATTCAATTGGGGCTGGAACTCAAACTCAGTGCTGCTTCCATCCATGCGATGGTGGTGTCTTCAACCCTCGTCGGACATGTTATGCAACCTGTGGGAGCTGTTCAAGGAGTCATCTGTGCGACCACAACAACTGTACGAGATATCCACCCTAAGGTAAGATGCGGAATGAGCCGCTGTAGTGGAGTCGAGGTTGAAGTAAAAACGCAAGTTTGCTGTGCAAACATATGTGTATCGGGAAAAAACATTGGGCCTCAGCGGGGATGAGTAGGTGACTGAGGGGTAAGCTCCATTGGTCGATGGTTGTGGAACAGTGGGCATTTCATAAGTCCAAGGGAGTACGCCACAAGTGGAATGCTGCCACAGGGCATCTGCAGTTCTATCCTGCAGGTGGCCAGCCCAGCTCCAGCTCCCTAGCTTCCAGCTCCCTAGCTGGAACACAGAATTAGGGTTTAGGCTTTTAGTACTCCTCCGGGCATCCGTGTAAAGTTTTGGCGCAGATCCTGCACTGCGAGCTTCCTGCCGTGCACAGGTATCTAATCAGAACTTGGGAATGTACGTAGGGAGATCGCTTAAAAGTGGGGCAAACGAGCATCACGAAACCCATCACGAAATCCTTTTCCGCTTGCTCGATTTGATTACAGTTTGATTTTTTCGCCAAAATCGTGCCAAAAAGAGCTGTGCGGTGTACCATGGCAGCGCTAATGAAGTCACAAAACAGTTAGTGCGGGAATTGACCCATTTGCTTTACAGAAGCGCTTGCACGTCGAGAGTCCCTAAGTGTCCTGCATGTCGGTGGTGCTTTCTGCCTTGGTTTGCCCTGCTTTGCAAGTGGGACAAGTTGCTTTCCGTAGTTGGGTCTTCCATTCATGCTCGAATACAGCTTGCTTCTTAGATATGGAAGCGAAAGGAGGCTTGGGCCCTGAGGGGCTGTGAATGGGCGTCGGCACGGCTCGGGAGTCGGGGCATGATGCGGGTGTTGCAGAGCAGCGTCTGGCAATCGAACATCCGTTGTTCGGAGTGGGGCAGGCAAGCAGCCCAGCTCTCATCAGCATTTCGTCGGCAACCTGTTACATCGATCTCGCGCGCCTTCATTTGACGCATTACGCAGTACAGGAATTCCGCAGGCACTGCACGTCGTCTAGTGACACAAGACACGTGACGAGTTATGAACCAAGGATTGCGTTACCAGCCGTTTTTATTGCATTTCTGGCCATTGCTTGAAACTGTTCCCTGTATTGATGGATGTTACAAGCTTGAGCGAGTTCGTACGGCTCAGAGGCTCATGAACCGCTTTGACAGCGCCGATGATAGAAAAAAGAGAAAAGGAAGACAGAACAGTTTTACGCAAGAGGAAAACGAATGCTTATGAAGGAAAAAAAGCGTCAAACTTGTCTCTGACACATTTGCCTGTTATCGCAGAAGGTGCTCAAGCCGTGAACGAAACATCTCAAAAATTGTCTTCGCAAGGCCGCGCTGATCATCCACTTGCATGATATCACGAATATCCGCCTTGACGGGCACACCGAGATCCCAGAGCTTCTGTCGCGCAGATACAAACGCCGGGCATTCTAACAAAAATGTTTCTCATCCGCAATAGCTCCGTTGCTACGACAAGCAGCGCACACGCGATGCTCACAAGCCCTGTTGCTCTCACTGTTAACCGCCAAGTCGGAGACACACAACCGAAAACGGAGTAGGGCACGACGATGCCGGGGGAATATAACTCGCGTACGGCTTCGGCAGCCCCATCCAGTGCTTATGACGGCACATCTTCACGCCGGTCTTCCTACCGTCCGTAGCGAAGATTCTAGGGTCCACAGCCAGCCTGTCATTCGCCCAGTCGCCGTTGACACGTGCCCCGCGATGTCCTTTGGTTACGGCGGGCCTTTTCCTTTGGATGGTACGCGACTGGACTGCAAAGCAGACACTTGCTTTATCCTCCTAATATTTGCGTAGACCCAATGATATGAGTGATGATGTGCCCGATTGCGCCCATCACCAATTTGGTGTGTGGGCTTTGACTGCAGGTCAAGGGTATGGTATCGCAGGTGTTACTCGACACTTAGACGTTCATGCTGCTTGAGATAATATTTGAATGACTGGGTTATTGCTTTGCTGCTTGCTTGCGAAATAATCTTGACCCGAAGGCAGTGGCGTCCCAAGCGCCGGCCATTCATTTAAAATGACGCTCTGTTGCTATACGATTTGCTTCCGCCATTGGGACAGTCCCTTAAGGAGTGTATGTTGTTCGCCTTCAACTGTGAGCAACATTTACGCGCGATCGAGTCTCGGCAAATGATAGCCATCGGATTCATAATGTTCTGAAGAAGTCATATTAGGCGATACTTTGTGTAACAAATGATGAGCTCGGGCTAGGATTGTCACATCATTAGCTGCAGTACGACGGACATTATCCGCATCCATAAGTCGCTGGGAACATCCGGAGGACATGCTTAAAGCCAGAACTTCCATACGGAAGGTCATAGCATCATACATTTAACTTTCCTGGCGTGATACTTTCAAGCAAAGTCATGAAGGTCCATCAGACGCAGGCCCGCAAGTTGGGCTCTCAGGCATTGTACTTTTCCCATGGTGCGTTCAAAGAACTTCTCTTGTGACTGAGCGATACAGGCCTGTCTCGGTAGCGCCGGGCGCCCTTAACGACCGAGGTCTGTGTTCGCAGGTCCTATCGTGCGGAAGGTTGTAAGCGCGAAGGCACCCGCAGGCTCCCGGCGAGTACAGGTAGGTGCTGTTTTGTCTGAATAATATCCTGAGGAATTTTAGGCTAAGCGGATCTTTTTTGGACAACAGGTCATTCGTGCCCAGGCCGTGTCGGCTCCCGTCGAGGCCAAGGTCGCGAACGGCGTGTCCGCCGCTGCTACTGCAGCCCCTGCAAGCTACGATTACGCTGGCGACATCAGCAAGGTGGGGTGGTGCATGTGGTAGTGGTCATCCCACCGTGGTCATTGGTTCTGACACCTTACCCACCCGAACCCCACCGTTGAGCTTTTCGCAGACTGTCCTGGGCATCATCCTTGGCGGTGGTGCTGGGACTCGCCTGTATCCGCTTACAAAGAAGCGTGCTAAACCAGCGGTGCCCCTTGGCGCAAACTACCGTCTCATCGACATTCCAGTCAGCAACTGCCTGAACAGTAATGTCACGAAGATTTACTGCCTGACCCAGTTCAACTCGGCTTCGCTGAACCGTCATCTGTCACAAGCCTACGTAAGTTTCTCTAGTTAAGAATTTAAGCGTGATTTTCCGAGCTGCGGCCGAAGGTCGGCAGTCATCCCTTTTCCGAAAGTTGACGCCGATAACCTCTAAACCTCTAGCTCGTCCTCGGGGACAAATTATACTTGTGTTTTGCTGATGCAGAACTCATCAGTTGGCGGCTACAACACGCGCGGCTTCGTGGAGGTGCTGGCCGCATCGCAGTCCAGTGCGAATAAGAGCTGGTTCCAGGGTACTGCTGATGCCGTGCGGCAATACATGTGGCTTTTCGAGGAGGCCGTTCGTGAGGGTGTTGAGGACTTCCTTATTCTCTCAGGTACGTTTCGTGTGTAGTGCTGCGGCACGGCTGCGGCACGATGTCTGGGATGCTTCCGACAACTTGCAGCGAGACAGCTTGCACCGACACATGTCGCAGCAGATTTCTGCTCTTAAGTTCCTCAGGTTCTGAATTGTGTCCGTGAGCACATCCTGTGGACGCATGCATGGACGTCACCTTATAACTAACGGGCATTTCCGATGTGTCGAGCCTTCGCCTTTGTGGGTCTAATGAAGGTCCCAATACCTTAGCATCGAGAAATGTCTTGACTTAAACCGCACGGTTGTTTGCGCTGTTGCGCCCGTCCCCGTCATTCCCCCGCGCGGTTGGGGGGAAGAGGGAGCCTTGCTGGGTAACAATGCCACACGTAAACGCGTTGATCCCTTCCTGTAGTGCATCTCGAAAGGCAGTCGGTCCCGCCGTTCCCTTCATCCGATCCACAGCCATCAAATATCTTCGCCCGATATTCACACACGCGTACTGATTGTTCTTGCGGCCCCTGCATCTCTTTTTCTCTTCGCCGACCAAGCTGACTGCACCCACGAACTTGTATGATGCGAACATCCACAAAGCCCATCAGAAGAGTTCGATCAGTTGTATGACAGTTGCGTCTATGAACTCGTCCATGGACCTCCGAGTGACGTTCCCGTCCAGCTCCTTTCACAGTCTCTGGTCATTTGGGCGATCTTAGCATTTGCCATTGAAGCGAGCGGCACATGCCCTTTGCTGCAACTGCTGAAGAAAACGAACCCAGTATCGCAGGTCCATTCGCAATGATTTTGGCCCGATTTGTACTTATCCGGGCGACATTCAGGGCCTATGCCTTTAGTTGGGGGCTACACATTCATGGGTTGATGTGCCTTTCTCACCCTCATATAAACCCGCCTCTCAGGCGACCATCTGTACCGCATGGACTACCGCGACTTTGTCCGCAAGCACCGCGAGAGTGGCGCGGCCATCACCATTGCCGCACTGCCCTGCGCGGAGAAGGAGGCATCCGCGTTTGGCCTGATGAAGATCGACGATGCAGGCCGTGTTGTTGAGTTTGCGGAGAAGCCCAAGGGGGAGGCTCTGCAGCGCATGAAGGTAGACACCTCCATTCTGGGTGTCGACCCGGCCACGTAAGTATTCGGCGGCCACAGTAGCGATAAATGGCGCACAATGCGCAGCGTGCTGGGGTAGGGTGGGGTGGGGCAAAGGAGTGTGGAAGAGGTCGTCAGGTGGACGTGGGAATGTGGGTTCATTTTAAACACAAGAGCAAGCAGAGGGCACGGCGGCCCCGGAAAGCAGGGATCTTAAAGCAGCGAATGACAACGGGGAGAGGAGGGGAACTGTCTTCCTTGGGAGGGAGGGGGCGGTGGGATTTGTGTATGATGGGATGACATAAAGGAGCCTTGTGTGCCCTTACCGCACGTTTCCGCCATGCTGTATCCACACCTCCAAGCATTTCTCGACACGGCGCGAATCGAGTTCTCCATCTCCGTTTTCCGTCCCTCGTTCCGTCCGGTCAAGCGCCTCACCGTGCGCTCGCGGATGAGTGGCTCGGCAAGGGTGGCAGATCCAAAACACGGCTTGTCTATGCGGACTTAGGGAAGGCAAAAGTGTAGCTCCTAAATTTGGAAGGACGCAACACCCTCCGAACGTGAGCAGCTCACCTACAGGGTCTACAGCCCCTAGCGCTGCGTGCCGGCAGTCTTTGCCGACCCCTTCTGACACGCGACGACGATATCGACGGTATCCTATGACCCCTTCGTTGGGCAGGTCGTATGGTTAAAAACATGCAACACACGACTTAGCACACCCACCCCGTTTGGGCCGTTCCTTTGGGCTAAACGGTGCGCTCCTGAACCTTCTGATTACAATACCCAGGTATCTGTAAAACGTAACATTAGGTGCCATCAGCCTGACGTCTTTGGCGCTCAGGATCCCTACGTCGCCCCACTGCGACATGGTTGCGCTTTGTGTATTGGTCATCGTGAAGGTCCAGTTGAAAAGACTGCTCTCCCGGTCATCGGCATTTTCTCCGGACATCCGACTCTTCAGTTTATCCATAAATTTCGCATCTCGTGCTATCCGCGCAGTGCCCAGTCCAAGCCCTTCATCGCGTCAATGGGCATCTACGTTATGTCTGCTAAGGCACTGCGGGAGCTGCTGTTGAACCGCATGCCGGGGGCCAACGACTTCGGCAATGAGGTCATTCCGGGCGCCAAGGATGCGGGCTACAAGGTGCAGGCGTACGCGTTCAAGGGCTACTGGGAGGATATTGGAACCGTAGAGGCCTTCTACAACGCGAACCTGGCGCTTGCAGACCCCTCCAAGGCCCAGTTCAGGTGGGATTGGCAGCAACTGCGATAGAACCTCTGGGGCATTGGAGAACTGGTCTATTGTTGCAATTTTCCAGAGCGTCTCGAGAGGACGTTTATGGGTTGTGTTCGGGGGGTCCTCCCCGTCACCGCCATGGCTTACATTTGACGAAAGGGACGCCGCGGATGGGGTTGGGTGTATCTCAGATGCAAGCAATAACGGCATCTTTCTTGTTTAAATTCTCTAAATCTTCAGGATTTTAGAGTAACCTCCCTTTCATAGCTAAAAGTAGAAGTCCCTCCCTGTCTGCGCGCTGCTCTGCTACGTGTCACATCCGCATGCAGCTTCTACGACAAGGACGCGCCCATCTACACGATGTCACGCTTCCTGCCACCATCTAAGGTGCTTGATGCCGATGTCTCTATGTCCATCATTGGCGACGGCTGCGTGATCAAGGCCGGATCCAAAATTCACAACTCCATCATCGGAATCCGTTCGCTTGTGGGTTCGGACTGCATCATCGATTCGGCCATGATGATGGGTGCTGACTACTACGAAACTCTTGAGGAGTGCGAGTACGTCCCAGGCTGCTTGCCGATGGGCGTGGGCGACGGCTCGGTTGTTCGGAAGGTATGTCCCTGATCGAATTCTGCCCCGTTGCCATCATCTAGACACTTTTCATTTTTTCCACTTCTATGCGCAACGGCGAATATGTATCCGTTATTTGTTGCGCTTCGCGGACGCCATTTGGACCGAACAGGCGATTATTGACAAGAATGCGCGCATCGGGCCCAAGTGCCAGATCATCAACAAGGATGGAGTGAAGGAGGCCAACCGGGAGGAGCAGGGCTTCGTTATCAAGGACGGCATCGTGGTCGTCATCAAAGACTCGTGCATCCCCGCCGGCACAATCATCTGAGGCCTCTCAGCCATCCATCAGAATGACGGGCGTTGAGCGGGACGAGAGGGGCAGGTGCGCATTTGTCCAGGTTGTAGTCTGTTCGCCAGCTCGCGACACCGGATGCATGCAGTTTCAGGAGGTTAGTCATCGCCAGCATGCACGGGAGGGGGCAGAGTGAAGCACCCGCCGGTGCTGCAATCCTGGTTGTGACTCGTCTTGTGTTTCCCCGTCTACAAGAAGACCGGACCTGAGGTGCCTCCGGGAAGGTGGTATGTCTGCGTGTGACGGTTGGAAAAGATAGCGGGTGACTTAAGAGATGCAGAACGCACTTGCCCCAAAGTTGGCCGAAATACCTTGCTTGCAGCAAGGGAGGAGGCATCAAGCAGGAGAGGAACGGACATGAGTTGCGCGGTTTAGCTGTTTGTTAGCGGAAACTGGCGTGTGTACTGGAGGCTGGAGGGAGCGACGGCAATAAGCTTACGCGACCTATAACAAGCTGAACAGCGGCACGAAGGGTTGCTCAATTCTTCTGGCCTGTCCTACCGGCTCTGGGAATGATAGCAGCGGCTATAACAGCATCACAGGCTGGTGATGTGGTTTTTGGTTCGTCTCGCAGCGTTACAGCTGTTTTTTTGGTGAGACATGCCGTACCCCTTGGCTGCGTCCTCCCTGAGCCCCTTCCGAACGATCCAGGTTTTCGCCGCCCTGGCTGTTGGTCACTCTTTGGATTGTGGCATGGAGGGTTCGAGAATTTTTTGTTGGTAGGTTTTGTGCACCAGCATGATGGTTGCGGGGTATGTGGTGACTGCCGGTGTGGGTGCGTCCCAACGCACACGGGCATATCCGCCGTCTTTCGTGGCCGCTCCCATGCAGGCCGCATGTATGTACAGACCAAATTGTTTCCATTCGTCACCGTCGCAATAACAATGTGATGTTCACACGGTAGTGTATTTTCAGGCGTTACCGCCTATCAGCACGCGCTTGAACTGTCGTACGTTGCGTCGTGCCGTGCTGTGCCGTGTACAGTTATAGCTTATGCTGAAAGGCCGGTGGCCGGGGCGTTTTTCCCACAGAGAGAAGTGACTGCGAGGGAAAGTGGAGCATCTGGTTCCCATGCCGCTCTCTTTGTACTTTTTTTGCGGTGGGTGAGTGTCGAAGACGGAGAAATTTCCTGCCTGCCCTTGAGGGCGCTATCCGTGGAAGGGAGATGTGGTCGCAGATTTCCTGGGTGAAGTTTTTTCCGACCAGCCTCCAGTAAACGGAGTGCGGACAGTTGAGGGTGTTGTGTTTTTGCTGCATATGTATGGTCTCTGTCGACTGGAGAAGAAACAATTCCGTCGTTGGAGGTGATGCTGAAGTTTTGTTGACGTATACCGAAAGGAGAGGTTTATGTGTAGATGTGAGATTAATCGTAGCTTTAAACAATTTAGGGTATGATTCTGGTGTTGTTACTATTGAACATACTTGCCAACCTATTTCGCGCGATAGCCGAACTTCATAGATCCACATACCGTAGTGCTACTTATAGTTCGTGCTACAATAATTCGGGAGGCACCACGAATATGTAGCACGTACAAATTCTAAGGTGTCCCAAGGGACCGCAGCCCCGAAATATCGTACCCTCCGAAGCCGGTCGATCAAACTTCGCAAAAACTAGGATTTCAAAAAATAGTCACAAACGTAGGACATGAACAACGCTGGAAAACGTGCAAGACAGGCAACCCTGCTTCAATGCGGGATGAAACCGCTAGCACCAAACGCTCTGGTGAGCGACCGAGCTGGATTGCACCAGTTAGGCTTCATGATGCTGTTGTCGAGGCCCAGCGTGAGCGAATGCAGCACGAGGAGGTTGCTAGCGTGCTAGCGCGAGCCTAGCGTAATGCCTTTTACGTCGGCGTTTCAGTAGTAACCATCCAAACACTGTATTGGCCCGGCCGGCTGGTTATTAGGTCGTTGCCACTGGTACTGAACTGTACGATCGGTCCAGAATTTGCTAGGGCGTTTCCAAAGTGCGAAAATGGTGAGAGACCATGAGCCTAAGGGTTCCCGGTGGAGGGAGACTGACTGGAAGCTGCAGTTTGAAAAGCCCCGAAACTTTGGAAAGGGCCCCGAATTTTGTATCATGCCCGCAAAATCTGGTCCGGCCTTCCCCGAAATTCAGAGAGCACGTACAAATTTCAGAAAGTTTTTTGACCCCTCCCCGAACAAAGCGATCACGAACTATAAGTAGCACTACGGTACATCAGGCGGGCATCATCAAAACAAAGTACAGGGCACAGAAAAATTATTATCCAAAATCCCGTCATATTCTATCATTTAACTCCATGAGAAAGCACATTGCAAACATTTGTACAAACCTCTAAGAATCGTGCCAGGGCCTAGCTCCCTATGTACAGGAATGTTCAGCAAAATCAAGTAGAAGTCCGGAAAACGCACGAAGAAGAACGCGATGCTTACCACTATCACTATCAGCCGAGATACAAATACACCAGCACACATACATACATACAAGATATACTCTTGAGGAATACCACGCCGCCTCCTTATCTCACACCTCATTGCCGATGCCAAAACACAAAAACACTAGCAGTGAACAATGCAAAGCGTACAGAAGAAGAATTTGCGTCCCCCTCCGTTGCATATGCCCCGGCGCTGCTGCGGCCGCGCCACATTTCTCCAGCGTGTTTGCATCGACCGACAATGTACTTCCGCCTCGATGCACGTGTGCCGCCCTCCGCAGCTTATTTCCTTGCGTGCTCGAACGGTGTTATTATGCAAGTTTCCCTTCCCCGTCGGAGGAATTGATGCAACGGATGATATGACAGCTCCGCCGCGTCGCCCGCCTGCATGGCTTCTCTGACGTCCTTTTCCCCTTCGCTGTGCCCAGTAAGACTGTCGTTGACTATATATACCTTCGTCACACATGCTGCTGCAAGTACCGGATCGCTCTCCACAATCCGCGCACCCCAACTGGTTCAAACTACGCACGACTGTTCAAGTGACTACCCTTTATAGCAGTGTGCTGACCTACCTAAACCTACCTACTTGGGCCCTATATGCCAAATGTGAGCGCAACAAGTTCGCCGAATACGGGCGCGCTGCTGCTGCTGCTGTTGCAAGGGGTGGAGGACGCCCTTCTCCATACCACCCCCAACACCACCAACACCGGTACCACCACAGCCAGCACTACTCCCATCCCGCCGCAGCGCTGCAGTGTGGCGGGACACTAAAGCGGCGGCGTATATACCTCTGCCCCCACATCTACACATGCACATACATCGCACGAAAAAATGGACACACACGCACGCGGCACGGCTTCCGGTAGTGCCGTACCCTCGCCGAGGAGCCCCCCCGGGCTATACAGCCACCCAGCCGTAGTCGTACAGCCGTGTCGCGGACGACTGTGCCGGCACCACAGCGCCGGCTGGCGAAGCATCGCATGGCGTAATGCCCCCCTTTGATACCGACAGTGCATGCCACGGCCGCACCTGAGACGAAGAGCCATGTGCCAGTAGAGGCACTAGGACCAAGCTGACGTGGTGGATGTGGGCGCGGATGATACGGCTCTGTGCACCAGGATGCTGGTACGGCACAGCGTCAGGAGCTGTTCCGTGTCCTTGCTGATGATCATGTCGGCAGGGCAGCTGAGGGCCAGCAAGTCCACATTCTCTGTGTCCACAGCCTGTGGAAGCGAGTGGAGAGAAGAGGAGAGAAGGCGCAGGAAGGGATACGCTCTAAGGCCGGACACAGACACGGACCTGGAACCGGCAAGGTGGGAAGGTAAGGGCCATCAGGCATGGCGGTGGAGAACGTTGGGTATGGGTTCAGACGAATGGTGGATGGACGCGGGCAGATTGCCACGGGAGGCCAGACAGTTTTTTTTCTTGCGCGCAGGTACACGAACGAACTACAATGAAATTGGACGGGATGTCTGCGGCTTCATCCCGCGTGTACAACGTATCCCCCTCCAGCGAAGTGGCAGCACACTGCATGGACATTCCGACTCATTCCGCGTCCCATTGCCCTCCAATTTACCGCCTCATCCCTTCCACCAGCATCAATAATTTCCGCTCTCCTCTCCACGCATCTCACCAATTCGCGCTACCCACGCGCACGGCTGCAAAACCCACCTTTGGCAGCTCCACCGCCGCCGACCCCGCATACGCTCGTTCCTCCACCCGCAGTGCCTGCGCCACTGACATGCGCGCCTGTACGAACACGCGGCGCGACCGCATGGTCAGCTGTCCGTCCCGCTCCAGGGCGGCGCTTCGGACCAAGTACAGCGAGTCCGTGCCGGTGGTGAGGGCACCGCTGACAAACTCCACTAGCGGCCCCACGCTGGTAGAGTCCAGATGCACCATGGCGCAAAGCGCGTCCTTGGTCTGGGCACCTGGGCGCCAGATCGGAAGGCAGGGAGGGGGGAAATGTGGAAGCGGCTTGAAGGGTTTGCGGCTTTTTGGGGGTAGGAAATGAAGCAGAGGCAGCCGCATTCCAAATGGCTGGATAAATAGGATGCAAAAGCCCGGGAAAGGAGGGTTAAAGGGATGGCAGGAGTGGGGAAGATTAAAAGTGCGATGTGAAATCAAGGGGTGTCATCGAGTGAAGGAGGGGTGGCCGGGAAGAGGAGTGTATTGGACCCACGCGTCACGACTAAGACTCACCCGCCTGGCCCCCTGTCGAGAAGCTCTTCTGCAACGTCCCACCGGCTCCCCTCGCCGACAGCATCGAACCCCCGGCAGCGCCGCCGTTGGATCGGCCTCCGCTCGGGGGCCCGCTGCCGCCGCCGCTGATCGCCGGGCCACCAGGCGCCCCCGGCATCTGGCTGGGGATGTACAGGTATTTGCCCACCGTGTTGGCCTTCACGATGAGCAGCGGGATAGAGGTGATGGACTTGGCGAGCGAAAGAGCGGAGCTGCCCGCCAGCTGACCCAAATCGGCCGCTGCGCCTGCGACGCACAGTCGCTCGCTGGGGACCTGCAGAATGGGGAGAAAGGAGTAGGGCGGCGATAGTACCACCCGAACATGGATACATAGAAAGCAGAGAGAAAGAAAGCGGAGAGAAAGTGTAAGGCGATGCGACATGAAGGAGGGAGAGAAGGAGAATGAGAGGAGGAGAAAACTGGAGAGAGGCGCAGGCGGCGGCAGTGGCAGTGGTGGCGGGAGGATGACGCGGGGGATGATGGTGTGTCAAGGTACTCGCGAGGACAAGGAAAGAAGCCCGGACTCTCACCACCAGCATCTTCGCCGCCACTCGGGGCACTAGCCCCTGCACCGCCTCCGCAAGGGCCACCCCCAGGGGCCGCACCACCACCTCCCGAATCAGCTGCTGATGGAACTCCAGCTCCTTGTCAGTAACCTGGTCAAGAAGCTCCCGGGCGCGAGTCTGCACGAGGTGGAGGAGGTGTGGGAGGTGGAGGGGTGTGGGATGGGATATTGAGTTCCAGGGCCGGAAAGGAAAGCGTTAAGTAGGGGTCGGGGTTTTAGGGGGAAGGGAGATACGGGTTCAAGGGGCGGAGGATGTGGGCATAAATACATCCGGGTACAGCACATCAGGGATAGGTGGGGGCTGGGACCCAAAGGGAGAGCGGAGTGGGTGCCAAGGATAGGAGATTGGGAGGCGGGCTTTGACTTTTGGGCATTAACCCGATGCGCCCGCTCACTCGCTCACAGATACACGCCTGCCCAAAACCCGCCTGCCAACCTCCCTCCCCCCAACTTTCCCCCCGACCTTGCTGTCCGCTTCCGTGACCATCAGGTACACGTGCAGTCGGTCCACGACATTGTGTACGAACAGTCGGGCCATGCGCAACGCCGGTTTGACTAACCGGCCGTGATCCGGGGTTAACACCAGTAGCACATTGTAACCTGCAGGTGGAGATGGGGTTGGGGAGTGCTGGGGAGTGCTGGGGAGTGCTGGGAAGTCCAGTGTTTAGGGTTTTACGAAGTGGGTCAAGGGGCTGACGACGGGGATGCTGCGGGAGGGAATGCGCGCCACGCCAGACCCCTGGGAACAACCCTTAACCGCAACAGCACTAGAAAAACTCCGAAACCGCAAATTACACCCACAAAAGTTACAACCACCATCATACCAGCTCTTAATACAGCTACCACAAGGAGTTCAAGCGATCAGGATGGGTACTGGAAGATGGTCGTGTGGCGCGGCGACATGTCACACACAGCATCGTAGACACGAGATAACATGTAACCTGATATAGCCACTTAAGGACGTTTGCCCCAACTCCAGGAAGCCGTATTAGGAACCTGTTTAGGCCTGTTGCCCAAACCTAGTCTAATAATCGTAATGGTCTCACTCTTGGGTGCAGCGGTAGCCTCTATTCAACGGGACATGACACGACAGCCCCCCGTCACGGGGGCCCCGTGGCACGTCACGTGGCCATCAGGGCGCACATCGTGTAACGAATTCAGACGCGGGAGACGCGTTATGGAGAGGACGACTGGGCGACTGGGCGAGGTAGGACGGCGGGCGGGAGGCACATGCAGGCGGCATGCCGCAGCCCGTGCGTTCAGCTACATACTCAGCTACATACTACAAGATACAAAATACCTCGATTATTATTTTCAAGCGCAAAGAAAAATGGCGGCGGCGCCGTGCTGCAGGACATAAAGCCTCACCCCCCTCCCTACCCCCCTCCCTACCACCCTCCCTACCACCCTCCCTACCACCCACCCTGCTTCTCCTTGAAGGTGCTGGTGCGCAAAGCCGGTCCCGCCGCCGCCATCATTTTCGCGTGGTCGTACAGCTCTACGGCCTTGCGTCTGAACTCCTTAATGCCGTCCTGCAGGGCGGGAAAGTGGGGGGGAGAGTCAGATTGACAAAGCTCACGCAGACCGGGGCACAATGCACACGACGACTACGCGGGGGACCCTGCGGTGGATACAGCCTTGAAGCCAAGCGAATAGGCACATGGGGCGATAGAGTGTCTGTGGGGGGGGAGGAGAGAAGGTAGCAACCGCCGAGCGACAGGGAAGCTCCCCGTCCATTCTCTCCGTCCCATCTCTCCTCCTCATATACTCCTCATCGGACCAATTTCGCCCTGGACTCTGGCCGCCATCAGTTCCTTCCTCTCAGCCATATAAACCCTCCGCGAGGTCAGGACCGCCGAAAAGAGAGTCAAGAGCTGTCTCAGCTGGCGCTCAGCTGCAAGCCCCAAAACTCTAAAAAATTAAAAATTACCAGTCATACCCGAATGCCGTACTTCCCTCACCTAGCCCATCCAGCTACCGCTTCTTCCCAGAGTCCTCCAAACCACGGCGCGGCTGGTGGCAAACCACGCCTAAACCCGACAGGCCCTTGGCGTGCGTCGTCCTCAGCCCAAACATTTATCGCCCGGCCCCCCCCCCTTTGCCCCCTCCTCCGCCAAAACCCAGGACCCTATAGGAGAGACAGCGCCCAGCCCCCTTCTTGACCTGCAGCTGCAGGATGGTGGCGGTGTGTGCCAGCCACTCCTTGCCGTATATGACCTCACTCATGACGGGCGCCTTGAGGCCCTGGGTACCCAGGATGCAGGCGCAGTTGGCCGGACGGAAAGTGGTCAGGTCGCTGATGTCAAAGGTGGCGTAGGCGTAGAAGTCTTGGGGGCAGAGTGGACGGCAGTAGTGGACCAGGAGGGGGCGACGGGCGCGGAGGGCGATGAGGTGTTAAGAAAAACGACCCTCAGGAAATTTTACTATTTACCCAATATGCAAGTTGAGTTAAAAAAGGCAAGAGGCACGCTCCGAAACCAGGGACGGCATCTCCCCCCACACACACCCTCACGTCACCACACCTTGCAGGTAGACGTCCGCATGGAACGCCGCGGGGTCGACCAGCATCCCCTGGAGCGCCCTGACGTTGAATACGTAGCGGTGCGTGGCGATGTAGAACCCGTGAGGCGAGCTGGCAGTCGTCTGCAGCAGCTTGTAGCTCTTGACGGTGCGCATGCTGCTGGGCCGCAGGTTGCAGTTCGTGGGACCGGAGGGCGAGATGGCGCCGGAGGCGACGGCATCGCCGCCGCCGCTAGCGGCGGCGGTCCCCATCACGGCGGCAGCGGCGGAGGCGGCCACGACGGATCCCTGGCGGGAGGTGACGGCGGAGCCAGATATGGAGGTGGAAGCGATTGTACCGGAGGCAGCAGCGGCTCCGCCGCCGCCGCCGCTGCCGGCTGTGCGAGCCACCCGGGCGAGTACCAGCGAGTCGTGCAGTCGTGCCTCCCGCTCCCGCTCACCCATCGCCACCTCGACCGCCATATTCGCTCCTGACGAGTTTGCGCACATGCAGGGTGAGGGAGCACCGCTTATTTCATCCCCCCAACCAACACCTATACCCCTTCCATGCGTTTCCCCTTGAACCCCTTACTCCCCCCCTCCCTCTCCCTACTGGCGTATCAGTCTATCCTCCTTGGCAACAGCTTCATTCCTTCGTGTTTCGTCTTCCCTCCCCCTGCCCCTCCCTCCTCACCCATCCTGTCCACCGCCGCTAGACCCGCAGCGAGAAAGTCCATGTCGAATAGCGCTTCGGGCCGCAGTCGCTCCACGTCGCTGAACAGACCTGTGTACAGCCAGGAGGCCTTATTCTCCAGGAGCCACTCCAGCACGGAGCCCTGAGGAGAGGTGTGACGCCGAGGAGGGGTCGGTAGGGGGGTAGCTGGGAGGTGTGGTGCGGTGTGGTGTGGTGTAGGAGGGGGAAGACGAACCACAGACGAGCGAAGCAGATAGATAGATAGACAGGTAAATAGATAGATAGATGTGGTGTAGGACGGGGAAAAAACCCCATGCCGATTCGGACTCTTCCAGAGAAAGGAAAGGATCCTTGACGGCCGTGCAGGTGAAGAGGAAGCGGATCATCACATGCAAAATGTGTGTGTGTGTGTAGAGAGAGAGAGAGAGTAAAAATTTCCGACACCCACCTGCAAAACCTCCTCAACACCCGTGCGCACTGCTACCCACTGCGCCGTCCCCCCCCCCAAACAAACGTCACGTCAACACCTTGGCGGTCATTCCTCTCTCGCCTTAACCTCCTCCTCCCACCTCCCCACCACCATGATGCTAGTCGGCAGCTGCACCCATAACTTCCGCATAATATTCCCCTCGCCCCCCCTACAGCCCCCAAACCGCCATCTCCCCCTTAGGGCGCCCCTACCTGCAAGCACTGCGGCTCCGAGCCGTCCGCGGACAGCGTGTAGGCCTCCGCGGGGGAGTTCAGCAAGAACATGGCGTAGCCTGCAGTGAGGCGCAGCCAGCGGGGACGAAATGTGGTTGTGGGCGTACGTATGTATGTATGTATGTATGTATGTTGTTACAGGGTGGTTAACTTCGCCAGCGGCCCCCTTTCCCGGGGCAGTCCCTGCTCTCCCCTGCTAGAGGGGCACCCTAATCCGTCACCCCATCCGACTTCAGAATGTATTCGTTGAGTTCGGCAACTCACCACCAGCATCCAACCAAATCTAGCGGATCAACGGCGCATCAACTTAGTTCCTGGTCAGCTCGCAAGTTGATATTATCACGTCCTACACCGTCCATAAGATGGGGGGCCACCTCCCATTTCATCACTCCTCAAACACCCGAGGAGCCGGCAGGCGGATTTGAACCCGGGTCGACTGGGTCAACTGGGAGCAGAAGTCAGGCCTTAACCTCTGCCAGCCGCCTGCCTATGTATGTATGTATGTATGTATGTATGTATGTATGTATGTATGTATGTATGTATGTATATATGTAGTATGCGGAGATATGCAATCGCGGTTCAACATCCATGTCCAAGCAGTGAGGCATCTACAGCTGCCTGGAGGCGAACGGGGTTGAGGGGGAAAGGGCCGACGGAAGGGCCCGGGTCCGATCTGAACACGGAGGGGATATGGGGCCCCGGTGCACGAGGGGGGGCAGACAAGCGCAAGGAGGGAGGGGTTGGGAGTCATGCGGGAGGGAAGCGAGGTGGCGGACCGCACGGCACCAGGCACACACACGGTGCTTTATGGTGTATGTATCTAGGATTGATGTACGCAGCTGTGCAGCGGTCCCTCCCCGTATACACACCAACACACACGCATGCAGGTCTAATATCGGTGCCGGCAGATAATACCGTGTGCCGGCGCCCTCCAGTACTCCACTTACCCGTGCCCAGCATCAGTCTCGAGGAGCCCTTGACGTGCGCCAGGTGGCCCGACCGCATATCCTGAGGCGGGAGGGGTACCGGCGGGCCGGGACCCCCGAGGGGAGCAGTGTGCGTGTGTATGTAGATAATGTTGTAAAAACATCAGCGGGGGCCAGGAACCCCCTGGAACAGCAGAGCATGTGTGGCGAAGGGGCCGGGACGGGGTTGGAAGAGCCGGGGTTGTGGCGAAACTCGGTAAGAACAACAACACGGTCGTGCAACACGGGAGCCTTGCAAGATCTGTTTCCTTTGCGGGACACACACACACACACACAGACGCAGACACACGCGTGAGCACCCAGGGCGCAGCTACCTGCGCAAAGCCATGGAACCTAGGCAGCGGCAGCAGCACCACGTTGCTGTGGTGCAGTCCGAAGAAGTTCCATTTGGCCAGCTCGTTCACCACGAAGTACTCGCACTCGCAGTCGATCGCCAAGACGACCTAAGGCGGATGGGAAACGGGTCGGGGGGGGGGGGAGGGCTTCGAACCACGAACGAGTGAAGCTGATATCAAGGTCCCGGGAAGGGTCGAACGGGGGAGGGGGGGAGTTAGGGAAACAAAGTAAAAAAAAGTGTAAAAAAACGACAAAGGTAAAGAGCGCACGGCACGCACCGCGCCGCGCGGCCACAAACTGTGGCGCACACATGCATGGTGTTGCTGCTCTGCTGCACAATGCTACACATTTATCAACCTTCCCTTCCTTTCCGGTGCTCACCTTCGTCTGCCGCAACGCCACTGCGCCGTACCACATCTCAACCGACACCGCCGCGTGCAGCAAGTGGCGACCTGCAACCGATAACCGCTCTAACCGCTGACCGGACGGCACCTGATAACGTTGGAAGCACGCAGGGTGTTAAGGGAGACAGGCTTTGAGTGCAGTAACGGACTATCGGTAGATTGATACATTATCTGAAATAAAGAGGGAGAGCGAAAAAGTGTGTTGCCGCACACGCCGCAGTGCGTGTGCGAGAGAAAATTCCGTCAAAGCCCGGGGGCCATGGACGATATATATATATATATATATATATATATATATATATATATATATATATATATATACACACATATTATATATAAAACATGTGGGTATATGTATATGTATAGTATGTGTGTATATATTGAGAGTCAACTACGCCGTACAAACTGAAAGTCATGGTTATTACATGACCTTCATTCTGAACGACCCCCATCCCCCGGGGATGGGACGTGCCTTGTTCGGCGCCATCTCCTTGATGGCCTGCCACAGGTCTGTTGCCACCAGGGGGGACACCTCGTCACCGCCCATCTCGCTCATGCGGCCGTCGTCGATGAAGAACAGCGCGATGGACCCTTGGGTGAGCGCAGCGTCGACCGCATTCGAGTAAACTGTAGTACGGCAGAGAGTCCAAGCAGACAGGCGGGACAGGCGAGACAACAGAACATGGGTCAATAATTGTAACACCCGCAGACAGACAGACAGACAGACAGACCTATATTCGAACATATTCTGTTCGGGCCCGCTGTAACAAGGCTCAACCATTTCGCGCACGTACATACTTCAAAATGTATACACGCTTGATGCGTACGTGAGTGAAGTACGTGTGGACTGCCCTACCCGCCTCCATCCCCTCCACACAACCCCCCACCACACACAGTCAGCCACACACACATGCAATGCTGATGCCGGAACGACACCTCCGCCGCTGCACGGTGCGCGCCATCACCAAACACGTGTAAAGATAAAGATCTCTCCTCAACCCCTCGAACGTGCGCGAGACAGCGCTGGCAACCTCCTCCAGGTCGCTCAGGTTTCAGGTGTGTCAAGGCAAAGCATGTACTGGTAACCCCCATAAGCAGCAGACTTCCGGGTAAGAAGGCACCTCGCAACTGGTACCCAAGCTTCGGGCCCGGATATACAACACGCAGCGGCAGGACGGCATGATTCCCCCACGTCTCCATGATTCCCCCTCGCACGCCCTTCCTCCCAATCGCCCCAATCCCCAATCGCCCCAATCCCCCGTCCCATGCTCACCGGACGCCGACGCCGCGGTGGTATTGATGACGTGGGGCGCCGCCCAGCTCGCGTCCTCAATCCATTGGGAGTTGCTGCGGTTAGCGTACACCGCCAGCACCTGCTCAGCAGCGTGGCGGATGATCTGCCACTTCTGATATGTGGTCATCACGCGCTCCTGGTGTGGGGCGCGAGGGGCGCGCGGAGTGGGGAACGCGAACAAGTAAACATGCGAGATAGATAGAGTCCAGCTACAAAATAAGCAAAATATCCAAAATACAAAGCCTGGATGGAAGAAGCAAAGTCAGTCAGGTGCGAACCCGGGTTCGGGTGGGGTTCCGGAAAGGGGGGCTCGCAAGTGGGGGCTCGCAGGTGGGGGCTGTGCAGGGCATTGACAGAGCTGGACCTCTGGACCTCTGGCGTGCCAGGACAGGACCCAGTGGTGGACAGGAGCGCCTAAAGCGAAGCCAGGCGGGGGCAACCCGTGTAACAAAGCAGCCTTTGTACGGCAGGACTTTTATTACACGGAGTGCATAGTTCATAACCGTGTGGGCGAAAAAAGTGTCCTGCCATGGAGTGCAATTGCGGCAGTGCCCTTTCCGCCGCCGCCGCCGTGTTACACAATCGCCAGCGGATTGCGACCAGGATTTGGATCCAAACCCGAAGTATGTAAATTCCGGGAGGAGAAAGAGGTCTTTGAAAGACAGGGCACTTCAGCACAGAAGGAGCAACAGCGGTAGCAGCAGCAGGACCGGCAGCAGCAGCAGAGCCATGGCGGTACAACCGCCTTAGCAAGCAAGCCGCGCTCCATCATACGGGCCCTTGGTAAGCAGCTCCCGGTCCGTCCGGCCGACATCCCAGGCCTCCCTGCAGCCGCCCGCTGAGGGATCTGCCCGCGGAGCAACACCAGCCCTCGAGCCGGGCAGCCGTTCTGAATCCCCAGTGTGCCCCAGACTCGGGCCCCGCGACTACGCGCTCTCACCTCTTCCTCATCAAAGAAGAATTGGTCCAGGGCATCGTCGCCCACGCCTGCGCTTGATAGAAGAGGGGGTAAAGTTCTAAACACGCCAATTTTTCAAAAATATTTTGGGCGCATTTCGTCACTGCGCACGTGTTTGTGCTCTTGTGCGGTGGTCAGGCAAGAATGCACCACCGGACGGCTCCCAAGCCTCCTTTGAATGACCTCGTACTCTCACCCGCACGGCACCAGGGCCAGCCAGCGCAGCCCTCGCAAAGCATCCGGAGAACTATAACCAAACCCTCTTTTCCCACCTCTCGTACCACCGTCCTCTAGTGCAAAGCATTAACGCTTCGTTGGCCACCGTCGGTATCCATGTGCCTGATGAGCAAACATCATAACCAGGGGGGCTGCTCCAACCACCCTGCTCCAAAACCAAGACTCCACCCGTAGCGTCGCCCTCTCCCGCCGCCGCCTTTCCTCCGACTCGACGGTGACTGACGCTGTGATCACACAATCCTGATATTCCGTACACTCAAAACTCACATGTACAATTGACCCAAATGCCAAATTTGCCTGTACGACAACTGCTGATAATTGCTTCTTCTGACCCAGATGGCACATGTGTTCTTCCCGGGTAGTTTCCCCCCCCCCTTGAGCTCCCGGATCTCACCTGTCTGAATGATTTGATGCAGTGCCCCTTGGAAGCTACCAAACTGATCAAAGTTGGGTCCCAGCGAGTCCTCCACCCTCTCGCCCACCGTCTCTTGGTTCATGGGAGCCAGGTACCGTCCACCAGCCAGCTTTTCGCCAAGTTGCTCCAGGGCCGCTGCCTTGTTCTTCATCAGCTTGCTTAACCAGGAACGCTTGGCCTCACCGCCCACTTTAAGTGACTCGTGTGCTTGCTGCAATTTGGAGAGCCCGGCGCGCCCGGCGGAGAAGTTTGCTGGTTCCCTGCGTTATTGGTGACCAGGAATGTGATTCAGGAGGGGGAGAGGAGGGGGAGAGGAGGGGGAGAGAGAGAACGGGGACGAGGACCTGAGCTTACGGTGGGAAGGTGATGGGCAGGTGGGAAGGGATGGTCGACGGGAGAAGTGGGGAGGGAAGTGCGGTAAGGAAAATCAGGACCAGGATTAGTTTTATTAAGAATCTTTCGTACTGATCTTCACAGGAGAGCGAAGGGAACGGACGGAGTGGTGGAAGGCAATGCGATGGATAATGAGAGGGGTCGGGCTGCGGGGGAAGTTTGGGAAGTGTGCAAGGAACTCAGAAATGAACTGCCGGCGCCCAAAGTCCGGTGGCTGCTGGCTGGGGGGGGAGAGAAGAAGTGTGCCAGAGTTGCACAGACACGGGAGGTGTGGGTGCTGCAGCATAGCAGGCCGTGGCTTCCTAGGTGGATACGTCGGTAGAAGATGGAAATTGGGTTCTGTCCATATGCGGCATAGCACCATTCTGAAGCCCAGTTATCCTCTCCATACCCTAACCCACCCTGGCCCGACTTCCAGACCCTGTTTAAGAGCTCCCAACAGCCCTGCTAGCAGATATGGGACCCAGTGGCAGTCAACATGCTCTCTGTTCATACTACTGGCGATCCCACACGATGCACACACGTGGTAGCCAAACTCTTTAGGCACAAACGAGGATGTACGGGAATCATTACGTGCTCGTCACGAATGCGGGGGGGATTCGTACTTGGTTTGGACGCTCTTGATCTGAATAGCCAGCTTCTTTACAAGCTCCTTCTTAGACTTCTCCAGTTGCTGCCTATACTCCTGCTCGGCTGACATTTGGCCGGTTGGGGAGACAGACGGCTCCTCGGTTGGGGGGCTCCGGGGCGGGCAATTCGAAGTGTGTTTGGCCAACGCAGTCCGTGTTTTCCTCCTGACCTCTGCGGCCGCAGTCGCTCTGCTTTGGGAAGGACGCATCCATTGCGTCCTGCTTAAGGCCACTGAAGATGCACCCCCTGCGGACTTTTGGCTAATCACTGACGGTGCTAATGTAGAGGGTTGAGCGTTTAGACCGCCGTTTCGCTCATGCTCCAGCTCTCCATTTTCAAGCTTACTTCCCTCCTGACCCATTCCGTTGAAAGAGACGCCCGAACCACAATCGTAAAAAAGTTGGCACGGACAGATGACTTCTAAAATTGCTGCAGGAGAAACCTAACCGAAACTTCGATGAACAGGATACTCAGAAAGGAATAACTATGCTACAATGTTCACCCATGCAAACGGAAATCGTCTTTGTGACTTTCCGCGGCCTTGACCACGGGCGCGTAAAACGGTTGAGCTTGGCGACGTTCGCTGCACAGAATTCGATAGATCTTGAACAATTAGAAAATACTAGATTTAACGCAGAAGGATACGAAATAGGATAGCTGTGCATATATGGCTTTGGGATAGAAGCATACACATGTCGATACCCATGCATGCTCACTTTTAATACGGCAATGGTGGCCGGTCCAGGTTGTCATCGCTACGTGAAGAAATGTGTGCATAATCAAGTTGTAATGTGAATAACCATCATAACACTTCCAGAAGTCAATTGCTGCAACCAGAAGTTGCGGAGAATTGAGGATATGGGCCCTGGGTTTTGGGAACGTATGCCACGCTAATTACGTGGCTGCGTCATGTGTGAAAACGTTTGCCGTTTGGGATGAGGCTCTGGGATCTATTTCTGTTGACGGATGGCCGATGTGTCGAGTGCGACGTGACGAGAACGAAGGCTAGTAGCTCAGATTGTTTGTAAGAATGAGTCGTTCCAGCAAAAAACGCACGGCGGATGAAGCCGCCGCTGCGCAGCAAGAGCAGGGTGACACCAGGCTTGAACTGGATGTGATTACCGGCTCATTATGGCAGCCAACGTGCCAAGCACTAGATCCAGTTCCTAGCAAGGTGTGCTTTTGGGATTAAAGGCCGTTGTGGTGCGTTTGCAAATCCTGGGGTGATGTTTCTCTGGTGATGCTACTTGCGCCAAAGGCGACAGCGACAGCGCAACCGCACGCCCTTAGCCCCATGCCCCGCACCTTCAAACCTCTCCCATACAGATCCGCATGCTCGAAATCCCAAGCATCCCGCCCGCTTACACCTTAACCCACGCACGCCACCACCACTACCCAAGTCCACCTTCCTCTGGTTTTCCCCCCTTGCCGCACAACCCGTCCTGCTTCACACCATGTTTTGCTTCCCCTACATTTCCATCCCCACAGACCACCCCTACACCATTACGGCATCCCCTAATTTAATCCGCGGCCCCCACTTGCCCTCCATGCACACGTCCAAACCTTCCCTCCCCAACCTCCACGCCGTCAAACCCCACACCCGTTCTCTCCGTTCCCACGCCCGCCCACCCCCCACCCACCTATATCCCCCCTCCCTTCCCTCCGTCCTGGTCCCCCTCCCCTCCCTGGACCTCCTCCCCAGATCCCGTTGGTCTTCGATGACGAGCCGCATTACCGCCGTACATTTGAGCCCCTCCTTATTGAGGAGGCCCGGGGCAGTCTCAGGGCCGAGTTTGATGAAGCCATGCTCGCGGGCAGGGGCTGGCCAGTGGCCGTAACCAGGTATGCCTCATCTAGAATGAAGTACATTAAGTACGCTGAAGTACATTGTACGACTCCCCTTCCTAGCAGTACTAACCTCAACATCCCCCTCCCCGTTCCCTCTCCCTCCCCATTCCCCATTCCCCGATACACACATCACACATACAGCTGATTAAAAAACACATACACACACGCTCACAACCCCTCCCTTCCCCACCTTCCCCCCTCCAGATGCGCCCCTGCCAAGGACGGCGTCTTCAATCTCACTCTTCGCCCCGGGGAGAGGGGCCACGTCATCAACATGCGGGAGGGCGCCATAGTGGTCCTCATAAGGCCCTCACCCACATCCTCCTCCGGACAAGAAGGTCAACAACAGCAACAGCAGCAGCACTCACAACCGGGCAATTTGGTCGCGCTGGCACGAGCGGCGATATCCGCGGGGCGGGGGTGCATGGTGAGTTGAGGGGGGTGTTGAAAGGGGCAGAGAATTTGTGTGTGTGTGAGAGAGAGAGAGAGACGGGGGAAAATTCTATGATGCCAAGTCAAGTGAAGGGAGAACGATAACGGCCCTGATGTCCAAAGTTGCGAAGAGCTGCTAACGGAGTCCAGAGCCGCCCCCAGGAGACGCAGCTGCTCTTCCGCGGACCGCATTACCGGCATTCGTCCTGGGCCGGTGGCTGCCCTCGGCGTGCACAATTGTTGATGCCCAGCGTTGTGTCGGGGTGTGTGTACTGCATGTACTGCATATGATTTCCCCCCCTTTTTCTCCTCCCTGCCATGCCTTCTTCGCATATTGACAATTTGCCCCTGTATTTCCCGAGTCATGTGGTTACGCCCTCCACCCCCCCCTTTTGCAGCCCGGCAGCGGTAGCGGCGGCAGTAGCAATGTTAGCGGCAGTGGTGGCGGGGCGGGGCTCCCGCCCCCCGGCACCCCCCCGGCTGGCTCGGACGCCCCGGTGTGCCCCTTGCTGGCGGCTCTGGTTCGAATGCGGTGTCGCGACGGGGGCCAGGCTCTGGAGGTGGCGGTGAGGCCGTCGTGTGGCCACCAGGCGCACCAGGAGGGGGACAGCCCATGTAACCAGGTGGGGGGGGAGGGAGGGGGGGTGAGAGGGAGGAGGGAGGGAGGGAGGGGGGGGTTGGCGGATATTCTGTGGGACCGTCCTGCAGAACCTCTTGTCTATGCCACTGACATCTCCCGTACTCTACACGCACACTTTCTCTCACACATACACACACACACACGGGACATCGGCAGTTGGGCGTTGGGAAGTTGATTGTTTGCTCTTTGTATACGATTTCCCTCTTCCCCTTTTGCCTCGTCAACCCAACACACATACACACAGGCACTGCACATGATGATC